AGTAAAAGTTAACGATGAAATTCTTTAAGACGTATTCATAGGTAAGTTAAGGTTATGACCTTGAACGCAGTGCTGAATTTAATATGTTATTTTTCTAAAGAAGGCCAGTACAGCTATTCAATTTAATATGGCTCTTTTCATTCACTCAGTAGAAGTGGTGCCGTAGAAAGTGCCGTGATTACACAGATCCAGCCGATAAAAACATCTCTAAGGAGATCTTATAAGATATGAAACTCTTTTCGCTTTTACATGTGTTTAAAACAGTGTCTTGGTTGTTCAGTGATCATGTGTATTATGACTCCTAGTCTCAACTCTAGTGGAATAAACCATTACGTTTTCATATAGTAATGCACCAAGTCATTCAAACGTACAGACGTACGATATGTGTATATCTAATCATTTGTTATTTGTTTGTATGATTGTCCGTTTCTGTTTGTAAATATTTCCACAATGAGCCCGAGATAATTGTGGTGGCATAGCAATTAGCGTGAGCTTGTGCGGTCGGAACGGGGCCACGTCTCCGGTCGGGTCACCGGCTAGTGTTAGAATCATGGATAGTCGTATGTGGAAAATAGACTCTACCAGGACAGTACGAGTGCTCGGAATCGCTTTCAGTGCTTTGGTAATGTTTTTTACTTTTTTGTCTTCTTTATAACTGTCACTATGAAAGTTTGTGTTACTCGTGTTACGCTTATGGTGACCTCAATGGCCCGTTTTTAATACCCAGATCAGTTCTACGTCCCTAATAATTGGATAAGTCATGTATTTATGTAGTATCAATTGTTATTGTACAAAAGCGCAAACTTAAACGCCTCCGTAATTCCATTGCCACTTTTAATGCTCCAAGTTTTCGGTTTAATTATAAATAAAGTCAATTTAGGCAACTGAAATTACATTTGTAACTACTGATGCGTGTTTACTTAAAACTACTGTTTCATGATAAAGAATTAGAACGTTTGATATCGCAAGATTTTTATCTTGTTTGGTCATTGTTAGATCGGGAAGTTGGCACGATGTATGGGAGCCAACTGTGCTTCACCCGCCCCCCTTTCTCTGCACCAGCCTTTAGTTACTTAATTACCAGAGCGTAAATATTACGGTGAATGAAGACTTATCTCTCATTCATCGTATTACATTCCCATTTATTCTCGTTACTTTTCTTAGAAATTGTATTCAATCATTCCGCGCGAATCGTGTTTCCTATTTTCGTTATTCTATGTGTATGAGAAAGAATTCTGTTTACATTCAGTACCTCTCATGAAGCTCAGTAATTTCTGAAAACACCGTAAAAATCAGAAAACAGTTTATATAACATTACAGTCATTATAACTTCATATTATAATTCACGATATAATTATGAAATGTATTCTGACGACAAAGTTGTCCGGTATGCGCATTAACGGCACAAAAAGTCGGAAATTACTCAACGGACAGGATCGAATCTGGAACCTGTTTTTTTTAATTTGTTCCTACACTTTCGTTGGCGTCTCGTAGACGGATTTTCCGAGCTGCAGACGCCATCGGAATGCGGTTTTTTACAATTGCACGAACTGACCGGCCATCGTCACCGTTTACATTACTGTTATAAAGATATACCTGTGACTTGAAAACGAAAGTTCAATTACAAACACTCTAATCAGGCAGTTTTTATTCGACAACTTTTACTACGTTCGTCACAGCTCTGTTAAGATCAAGTCATCTGTCTATCATATTTATTTGCTCAAACGAAGTTGCGTCTAGATTAATAATTGCTTTCACATTATAATCGATATCGCAGCTGTTACCCGTTTTTATCTCGCTGCTAGCGTCTGCTAGACCAAATCTGTTCAAATAGAATGATTTTAATATTCACTCAGCGAGCGTTCGCACGGACGCGAAAACGCTAGGCGGTAACTATGTGTCAAAATAGAACGTATGGGATTGTATGAAGCTGTTCATACGGGGG